GCCGGCTCTGGAATTCTCTTTCTCTTTCTGAAAAACCCATGTGCTGGTTTCACCGGCCCTGAGCGAACTGGATGCTGGTGCGATCGGGACAGCAAAGGCTGCCTGGGGCCAAGGGTTCCCGTAGCCTCCCCCAGAACTCCAGACGACGCCCCGCAGCTCCGCACCCTGCCCGGCTCCGCGCTGCTGCACCTGCTGCCCACGGGGGCAAACGCCCGCAGACGGCAGCGGGGCGGTGGGGGCGGTGGGGGCAGAAGGGGCGGCTGCGGGGCCGCGGGGGCTCGGAGTCCCATCCCACCCGCAGGGACACGCGGCTCCATCCGCCGGGCGGCGCGGGGCTCCTGGGGGCGGGGGGCTCGGCTTTGTCTCCCCGCCCGCGGGGCCGGGGGTCGGGGGCCGGGGGAGGGCTGGGGGAGGAGCGCGGCCCGCCCCTGCCGCCGCCCTACAAAAGGGGTCGGGCGGGCGTCGGAGCAGCGTGTGCCGGCGGGCAGGGCAGGGCAGGGCAGGGCAGGGCAGGGCAGGGCAGGGCAGGGCAGGGCAGGGCAGGGCAGGGCAGGGCAGGGCAGGGCGGAGCTCTGGCCCCTCCGCAGCGGAGCCTGCGGCCACCTCGTCCCCGTTGCGTTCCGCCGGGCTCGGGACCATGCTGCGGGAGCTGCGCCGCGGAGCTCTGCTCGCCTGCTTCTCCCTGGGGACGCTGCTGGCCCTCGCCGATGCCAAAGGTACCTTCTACCCCCCCGCCGCCCCCCTGCCCTACGGCGGCAGGTACAACCTCTACACGACCGGCTCCAGCCCGCAGCTAGGCAAACCCGTGGGCAAGCACAAGTAAGCGACTCTGCGCGGCCGTCGGGCATCGCGAGATGGGCATCGGCGGTGCTGGGCTGGGGGGAGGCGGTTGTGTCTCGAAAGGGACCGGAATGTACGTGCGGGCCCCGTAGGGACGTGAGAGCTGTGGGATCGGGCGGGGAGGGGGTGCGGACGGGGCTGTGTGCCTCTGTATATCCCTATGTATGGGGCTTACGGGGGCTGAGATGTGCTGTTAAGTAACCTGGAAAGCTCAGGTGAAAGAGGAATGCAGGCTTTGTGTGTTCAATATGCTTTTCAATTCCCCAGCAAGAAGGGTGTTATGTCCTGGTGGGGGGCTCTCTGTGCTTGTTTGGTAGAGCAGTTTTGTATTTGGCCCCTCTGAAAAGGGGGGGATTTGGTGTTACAAACAAGCTGAAATGAATAAAGTAACATTTGAAATGAACAATACTGGCAGTGCCAGTGGGAGCTTTCCAAACCCTGTAACATTTTCCAGCTGCTCACCCTTAAAACATCAAGCTGCAGCTATAAAGCTGCTAGCCACAGGTGGGTGAGAAAGAAAGGGGTTTCTGCAAAGGGGAGTGAGCCAGAGCCATCCCAATCCAAGCAGCCACAAGTGTGCACAGTTCATCAACAGTGGCTAGCAGATCTGCTACTAGCTTAATTAAAGAGGAGGCTGGAGGTGTCTAAAAGCAAATCCTGGATTTATGGGTGAGAGTGATTCTAAATTTCCACATGCACACATGATCTCCCTTCCATCCAGCTAAGAAAAGTTGCTGGCCTTAGTTCTCAAGTAGCCCTGCACACGGATAAATGACTCACCCTGGAGCAGCGATCTGCAGTGCTGAGCCCTGTGCATGCCTGGGGCCTGGCAGCCTCTCACTGGGGCTGAGAATGATGGGAATTGCTGTGGTTATCCCAGGAGATGTGCATGGAGAGCCCTTGGAGAGGGGTTGGGAAGAAGAGGTTGCACTGCGTCCTCCTGCCCTGCCAAATACCTCCCTGATCCAGCAGCTCACTCAGGCCCATCTGCTCTGTCCTGCTGACCCTCCATTGCTGCCTCTACCCTCTTCTCCTGCCGCTCTGCCATCTGCTGTGTCCCTACCCTCAGCCCCTGCCTCACCACACGTCCCCACTATCTGCCCTCATGGACTGCATCCATCTGCTCCGGCTGGCAGCCTGCCTCCAGCAGAGCAGCCTTGGCCTCCATCTGTCCAATAGGACTCCTGCATCCTTCCTTCCAGCTGTCTCTTCCTTGCTCCGGAGCTGGTGTTACCCAGTGGCACTCAGCTGTGGTCATGGTGGCAGAAGGGAGGAGGCTCTGCTCCTTACACTGCTGCTCTGAGGAACCTGAAGAGACTTCTTTAGGGCTGGTGATTCCCAGAAAACCCATTTCTGAGGGTGTTCTCCTTGCCCCCATAGCTTCTCTTGTTGAGCACAGCTCCAGGTGACTGCAGGCTGTCATGCTGTGCCCCTGGGGCAGGAGGTGACACTGCATTGCTGTGCTTCCCCCCCCTCAGGAGCTATTGTGCCTATGTGGTGCAGCGCAATGTCACCTGTGTGCTGCAGGATGGCGCCGAGAGCTACGTCAAAGCTGAGTACCACAAGTGCAGCTGGGGCCCCAAGTGCCCGGGGAAAGTGCTGTGAGTATGGGGACACAAAGGGGCTGGGGGGCTGCCCTTCCTTGAGGGGAGGGGGAAGCAGGGCAGGCTGAGGGCTGCTGCTGTGGGAAAATATTTGCAAAACTCTCTGCTACCTCCTAAGTGCTGTGCTGGAGCAGGGCAGATTGGGGGGTTTTGTGGTCACCTCTGGGCAGGGATGCACTGCTGTGGGAATGCCATGCTCCCGTGTCCTCCCTGCCCCTGCTGGGAGTAGGAGCACCAGGAAAGCAAGGTGTCCTTGCTTCATGCCACTGGTGGTGGCTGTCACAGCAGCATCCTGCTCTACTGCTGGCCCTGGAACCTGTGGGCAGAAGGAAGAAAGGACCACAACTTGGCAGCTTACAGGAAGAGTAACAGTGAAAAGAAGAGCTTATTTTCCAAAGATGTTTGAAACTGTCCTGGGTCTTTGGGAAACTGATGCTGGGAAATGTTAAAATGATTCAAACAGTGGGGGATTTGGGTTTTCTTTCTCCTTCTCCCCTCACTGTGAGCAGACATCTCCATGTGACTCCTGCTGCAGAAGCTGCAGCCTGGGTGGGGACACTGGGGATCTTGTGGGGACGGTTGCAGTGCTCAGACGGGCTGCCCCATGTGATGGATGGGTGAAAACACTGCTCTGCTCCTCACTGTTCCAGCTCTGTGAGATGCACGTGTGGACAGTGGTATGAGCTCACAAAGGCTTTGGTGTCACGTCCATCATTCCTACTTGTGCTGCTCTGTGTTGGAATTTGCCCAACTGTTTAACATCTGTCACAGTGGTCATCTGTTTGGGGACCGGAACAATACACTTGCTGCTGTTTTTTCCAAGCTAGCATCAAGAATCCAATGTTTTAAAAAATGATAATAAATAAAAATCAACTTATGCCTCATTAACAAAAAACCCCTCTCCACATAGTATGGTGGCACCTGGTTATTTCACCTCATGGTCCAGTCCTGGAAAGACTGGGTGATGCTTTTGCAGTGCTGGTTCATGAGCTGTGTTCTTGGGCAGGTGTTGTTGGTGCTGCACTGAGCATTGATGCAGTGAGTGGGAGGACTGTGCTCTCGGGGTCTCAGCCAGGCTCTCCTCACACCAACAGGACCCATGGCCCCACTCTTCTATCTTACTCAGAGCTGAGGTTGCCTCTCTAAAATGCTTTCCCTTTCTCTCCCCTCTCCTGGAAAGGTACCGCACCTTCTTCAGACCCAGGTACAAGATTGGCTACAAGACAGTGACTGAGCTGGCCTGGAGATGCTGCCCAGGCTTCATGGGAGAAGGCTGCCACGACAGCCCCACCGATCAGCCTGTCCTGGTGCCCCAGCACCCTGGTCCCAAAATGCCCCCTGGGCCGAAGATGTTCCCACTCCCCAGAGTGCCTCCCCATCCGAAAAGCCACCCTGACCTGTTTGCAGGACCAAAGAAGAATCAATATGGTGAGATCTTGCTCTTGTTTTGGGTTCCCACATTACTGCACCACTGGCCTTGGTCACAGAGCTCCCAGCTTCGTGTTCCAGCACAGGGCATGAGTGTACAGACTTTAGGTGGGTGACCTTTGTGTCCAGATGCCTGACCTCTCATTACTTTGAGGATCACTTTTCTTATTTACTACATTTCAGAATGTGTGGCTTTAAAATTGCTGTACCTCGTTGTTTTAAAGTTTATGATAGGATGAGTGGGAATGGCCTCAAATTGTGCTGGTTCAAGTTAGTTACTAGGAAGAATTGATGATGCATTGACACAGGCCCAGGGAGGTGGTGGAGTTACTGTCCTTGGAAGCACGCAGGTTTTCCCCATCAAATTGAGTAGAGGAGCGAGGTGAAAAGAGGGAGACTGAGGCGATGTTTGGCTGAGAAAACAAGAGGCAGGTGGGAGCTGATATCAGAAAGGAGAAGGGTTGGGACTAGATGACTCCTTCCAGCCCAACCTGTTCTATGAGGTGATGAAAAGGACTTGAACCAATCAGAAGCTCAGGAGGGAGGTAAAGGATACAGCCCTGACCGTCTTCTCTGTCTCCTGCAGGCAGGAAGCTGCCTGGTCTGGTTGGGGACCGCCTGGAGCGGCTGGAAGAGGAGGTGCGGCGCCTGGCCCAGGCCTACGACAGCCTGCACGTGCTGGTGAGTGGGCTGGGGGACCGCCTGCGCCTGGCCATCCAGGAGGACACCACCAAGATGATCGGCTCACTGATGAACAGCCCCGGCACGCCTGACTCCTCCGTGGGCTTTGGCATCATTCCTGATGGCCTGGTGGATGTGGCAGACAAGGCTGATGTCGCTTCGTATCCACCTGTTGGGGAGATCCTGACCAAAGTGGCGGAGGTGAGCGATGTGCTGAAATCCAAGGCGGATCTGCTCCATGAGGTTCGTGGCATGGTGCTGGAGCACGATGGGCAGCTCAAGCACCTGCTGGAGGCGGCCCAGCCATCACCCCTCACCTCCATGGAGCTGCTGGAGGAGTACGTGGCTGCACGGCTGGGCAGCCTGCGTGGAGAGCTGCTCGACGGCTTTGAGAAGCAGCTGGGCAAGATCCAGACCGCCTGTGACTTCCGCATCCAGGAGGTGCAGCAGCAGTGCGAGCAGGAGAAAGCTGCCAACCTGCGGCTGCAGCAGACTCTGGATGGAAAGGAGCTGGAGATCAAGAAAGAGATTTCCCAGCTGGAGACCCAGATCCAAGGGCTAACAGTGGTGGAGAGCTGCTGCAGCAGCCTGGACTACCTCACTGACCGCATGAACATCCTGGAGAAGGGCCTGCACAGCATCTCTGAGTCGCAGAAGAACTTGCACTCACGGATGGATGGAGAGATCTCCACCATCACCCTGGGGAACCTCTTTGAAGGGCGCTTTGAGGACCTAGAGGCCAGGCTGAACGCTACCGAGAGAGAAACGGGGAGCTGCTGCTCCAGCATGGAGGATAGCATGAGAGGCACAGTGGTGGCGGAAGTGGATGGCATGAGAACGGCCTTCGAAGATAAAATGCAGACCCTGGAGGACAGGTTCGTGAGCATCGTTGGGGAGCTGAACAATGTCAGTGCTCCCATGGGCATGGATGGGGTGGTGGTGCCCGTGCTGGAGGGGGAGCTCGCCAGCATGAGGAAACGCACGGATGAGAAGCTGGAGGTGCTGCAGAGCCGTCTGGTCACGCTGGAGAGCACCTGTTTGTCGGGCTGCAGCTCCGCCTCCAAAGACGTGGAGACCTTCCGGACGGAGATCGAGGACTGCCAGAACAAGAACCAGGACCTGCTGCTCCGCATGGACAGCACCTCGGAGCTGCTGCGCAAGCTGAACGCCACCATCCTGGAGATCCAGCGGCGCATCGAGGAGGAGGCGGCGGGGGCTCTGCAGGGGGAGATCACCTTGTTGAAGATCAACCTGAACACCGTCAGCAAATCCCTGACGGGGCTCAAGGACTCCGTCTCGCAGTATTCGGACACCGTGACGCACGTCAACTCCTCGCTGGACGAGCACGAGCGGAAGATCGAGGACGAGGTGCACTCTATCCAGGAGAAAGTCAGCGACCACGGCTCCCAGCTCTTCTTCAGCAACCGCCGCGTGCTCAACCTGAAGGGCGACCTGGAGCGCCTGAAGGCGCGCATTGCCGGTGAGCTCAGCTCCTGCCGCGGCGCTGCCCGCAGCCTGCAGCGCGACGTCGCGCACTTTGACGAGCGCGTGGCAAGGGTGGAGGGAGCCTGCGGCCGGCTGGGGGCTGTGCTGGGGAGCCTGGATGGAGTGAGGGGAGAGCTGGAGAAACACGCGGGCGGCCTGTGGGACCGCATGGACCGCCTCAATGGGACGCTGGCTGCCCACTCTCAGGAAATAACGGGGCTGAAGGACAACCTGCTCGACTGCCAAGCCAAGGTCTTGGAGCTGGCGGAGCAGCTCGGCCACCTGGAGGAGCGGGCGGGAGGGAAGCATTAGCCCTGCCAAAGCGTGCTGCTTCCTCGCTTAACTTATATCACACAGACTCCAATGTGACAACCTTTTTTTTTTTTAATTTTTTTTTTTTTAATGAAAAGATAAATTAAAAGCTGCTACACCCTCTCCTTCATCCCCTCCTTTTTAATTTTTTTTTAATTTTTTTTTTTTTTAAATTGTGTTGTTTCTGGTGCTTGCCTTGCTGTGCAGCAGCTGTGCAGCCCCCTGCAGCAGCAGGTACCGGCACATGGCCGAGGGTGATGCGTGGGCTGAGGGCTGATGACCCCAGAAGGACAATTCAGGAGGAAGCTGGAGGCGGGAAGGTTTATTTTGTTTATTATTTTTTTTTTATTTTTATTTTTTTTATATATTTTTTGTGGATTGGTTGCTTGTTGAAGAATAAAACCCTGTAGTCATCAGTTGAGGAACAGAAATTCTCTGACCTAAAGACCACCTGCATCTTCATCCAGGGACTGAACAGAGCCAGGGCTCCTTCCAGGGAACAACTCACTGCAGGAACTGTGGATTTCAAAGCCAACACGTACTCGCACAGCCCTGGGGAGCTGCACTCCCCTCCTCGAGCCGGCAGCCCTCCATGCAGAAGGTAAATCCATTTCTACTGCTGCCTTCTCCATGCAAACGCACATGCCTTATGGAGCATATGAGGATATGCATTAAGAAAACACATGCATATATATATATATATGGTATGTGTATATATATTTTTGAACAATCCGCTGTCACGGTGCTCATCCCTTTGCAAAGCTTTCTTTTGCTGCCCCCATTTCCCTTGCTGTACGTTGAAAAGCTGCATAGAGCACCTCTCGCCAGTCCTAGCAGCATTTCCATGAGCCCACGTGCTCCCTTAGTGCTGCTGTGGTTTGCAATCCTAATGTACTTTTCTGTCTGGTTCCACCTGGCACTGATGCAAAGGGTTATGGAAAAACTTGTGTCTTTCCCAAAGACGCGTGTGCGTAGATCTCTGAAGAGACAAAGCCGGGCGTGGAGCAGCCTCCTGCCCTCCAGCTCTGGTTTTCTCCTGTTTTATTGCTTAAACTGTGAACGTGATTTCCTCATCTCATCCCAGGGCAGGCGAGGTGCAGCAGCTCCAGGACGTGAGCATGAGTGCACACCTGCTCATGGGTTTTCCCAATCCTGGAGCAGGAGCCTGCTTCTGCTTTGGGATCCCTTGGGTCCATGGGGATGCTGAGGATTCAGGGACCCCAGAGAGAGGAGGCACCTTGAGAAGACCTCTCCTGAGCTCAGGTCTGGAGGTAGGCTGAGCTGTGCTCCTGGGTCAGCGCGGGGCTGGAGGTGGTGTGAAAACCAAAGTGATGCACCCAGTGTCATCCTGCTTTCCCACAAAGACTGGAGAAGGTCAGTGTGTGCTGAGTGGTGCCAGCCTGGCCCCATGGAGCAGGTGCCCACCTTTCCCAGGGGTTGCATGGCACACTGCTGCTCAGCCACCAGGGATATTGTTTTAAGGAAGGATGAAGAGGAGATTAAAGAGCCTCCACCCCACCAACTCTGGCACTTTATAGCAGAGGAACGTTCTTGTCTCAGCTCAGTGTTGCAGCTCATGGGCCCTTCCAGCCCAGCTCCCACTCTGTGCTCTGCAGGTCACCCTCTGCACAGTGGGAATGGTGAGTACTGTGCCTGGCTGCAGCTTTGATGATTGAGAACTTGCTCCAGCTGAGGAGCAACATCCAGCCACTTTGGGGTATCCCAAGAAACCTGCTCTTAAATAGCACAAACTCCTTTCTTCCCCCCAGCAGAGGGCAGGGAGATCAAGGCAGCCCTTCGTGATGGGCCAGGTCCTTGCCCTGCAGGAGCACCCTGCCCCAGGCCCCCAAAGGGCTGCAGCAACCAAAGAGAAAACCCAGCCCCAGGCTCACCTCTGCCAAGCTGAGCAGCCAGGGCTTCTGCCCCAGAAAGCAGCAGAACAGCTTCCTGCAGCACAGAGCCAGCGCTGGCACTGACCGAACCAGGACAAGGAAGAAGTCTGAGCTTCCTGAACATGGTGCTATGTTTGGACTATTCCTGACTAGTCACTTGAAGATAGTTTGTATTTCAGTTCTCAGCTATCAGTGTTTAAAAATGAAAGGAATTGGTGTAAAATAGGGCATTTTTTTTTCTTGCAGAGAGGGAAGGAGATGGTGCCCATGCAGTTGTTTTGTGCTGGGCAGCTTTCCGAGGCAGCTGGCAATAGGTACTGCTAAAAGGCTGTGTTTTATTGTTTTTGAAACCTTGTACATTGTTCAGATGTTAAAAGCTGAAAGGCTGTTTGTACTGGAAAGGAAAAATAAAATATTTCTTGCTGAGGTTTCCAGTATCAAAATGACTTCTGTGGCTTTAGGAAAGGAGAGAAGCATAACACCCGGCTTGTGTTAAGACAGGGAGCTCAAGTTAAACACTGAAGCTATTTAGACAGGAAGAGAGGTAAGCAGAGTAGCAGGAAGTGGTTCACACTCACACAGCATCAGAGAAGGAAAAGCTGGATGCAGAGCAGAGGAAGGAGCCCAGCAGTGCTCTGCCTTGTACTGCATGGGGCTGCAGTGGACAAGAGGCAGCCTGGATTAAAGCAATGTCTATTAATTACTGCTGCGAGTGAAAAATGCTCAAAGCCCAGCAACTTCCATGCAGCTTTACAAGTTAAGCCATGTGACAGCTTCACTCCAGCAGCTACACCACACAGCAGTGCTGGGTGTGCCAGAGGCTCATCTATAAATAAGGGTGACCCATCATCACCTTTAAAAAATCCATCTCTGAAGATGAATAACATTAAGACACTTGGCTCAGAGAGCTACGGTAAGTTTTCAGTAGTCAGAACTCTCTTCACTGCTGCCTTTGTGCCATGAGAAGAGCTGCCTTAGTGCAGGATGGGACTTGTGCTAGAAGTACAGAATGGCTGAGCACCAAATGAGGAGCATCCGGTTCTGGCAGGACTCATGAAGAGCCCGGGGCAGGTCCTCACAGATGATGGGGTCAGGAGAAGAATTTCAAGTCAATGGCAGGCAGGGGAGGTCTCCAGTAGACGAAGTGGTTGCACTCAGGGCACAGCAGAGCATTACTCCCCTCCTGTCCAAGGGGAGGGAAGATCAGCTCCATCACCTCTGCTAGCTGCTCGTACCTATAGGGTGATGGGAGAAGCTGCAGCAATAAGAAGTAACATAATGGGGCTTGAAGCAACCCAAAAACTGAACGCAAATGGGTGTTTGTCCACCCTAACCTAACAGGGATTTGTTTTTTTTCTATCCCTCCAAGATGTTTCTCATAGTTAAATCCACATTGACCCAGTGGTGTGAAGAACCAGCACATCACTTACATTGATTTGTAATTCTTCGTCAGCTCCTGGATCAGCTCTCTGTTGGGGTTGACTGTGTGAAAATGCAGCTCTCAGGCAGACCCACCTGCTTGTAAGCACTGACATCCTGACCAGGGAGGGTCAGAAGGCATGAGAGCTGCAGGGAGCTATCACCATCACGCAACCCAAGGCTGTGAGAGATGAGGGGTCAGAGTGCAGGTTGGACTACATGCAGACAGGCAAAGGGGGCTCGAAGAAGATACTTGGAGAGCAGAAGAGATTTTGTGCACTGCGAGAGCTTCACCATGAGGCTCTAAGGAAAACGAGCTGTGTCCTGCTTAGCCTCCCAGGAAAGGCATCCTGCACCAAGGAAGGCCAAATTTAAGGCTGATGCATCCCCCCGTGTAGCAGCAGGGAGGGGAATGCCATCCCCAGGTGCAGGACCGGTGATGGGAGAGGACTGTAACTGTGGGAGGCAGAGAAGAAGCTGAGGCTCCTGGGGAGGGCACAGCCCTGCTGGTTGATCCACTTGGGGTAACCCTTGGTGATGTGTGCCACGAGGATTGGATGGGCTGAGCAGCAGAGGAACTTGTAGCCGTTCCTGAGAACATAGGGAAGCCTTTCTGCTTTTTCTGCCTTGCTGCCGAGAAACCCAGGGAGCAGCACCCCCACCAGCAGCAAGGAGAGCTGGGCACAGCTCCCTGCTCAGCCCGCGGCTCAGGCTGGGATGCACAGAGCTCTTCGTGACAGGAGATGGGGAGAGCCAGCTGAGGTAGGGATGAGCCATCTGCGGGCCCACAGTGCCTCTCAGCGGCCAGAGAGGATGGGAGCACCACTCAGCCAAGGGGAAATGACCCACTCTGCTTCTGCTACTGTGCTCCCACTCAAGTGGATTGCAACAAGAGCACCGAGGGTCACTTGAACTACTCATGCCGGAGTTTGCAACAGTGCTGCATGGCACGTGCTTGCAGTGAAAAACCCCCGGCAGGTGCCCCCAGCATCTAAACCACAGCAAGACTTAGCCATCGCTGACAGCAGAAAGTTAAGGCTTGTTATCCAGCATCTGTGAGTCAGGAGCCCTCATGACAGCTCCTGCTCAGCTTCACTATCACCTCCCACTTCCCTTCGGGGTCCTAGCTGAGCTGACTCTTACAGGTGGATTTTGTGGAAGGGCTTAGCAACGCTGTGATGAGTCCAGTCTTTTCCCAGATGTGGTAAGATGTGCCCAAAAGCATTGGAACTAAAAGGAAAGGAGACCAAGTTAGGCTGATCCAACCCGGTGGGCATCCAGAAAGATGGAGTATGACATCTTTCCTGGCTGCCTTGAAAGAACACTTTACCCCATGGGTGAAGCAAAGGGAGGGAGAAGGGCCCTTTACTTGGTGATGGTGCTGTTGATGTCGGAGATCACCACCTTGTCATCCCAGTTCCACAGGTACGTGGTGGCCTCGCAGCAGCAATGTCCTGGTACCGTGTTGTCACACTGAACACCACTTTGTTAGGGCCATCTGTCAGGTTCAACCTCCCCTGCAGCAAAGGGGAAACAAGCACAGCTCAGAGGAGAGCTGCAGGGATTTCCTGTAGGTTGGCAGGGATTTCTGTGCAGAGGTATCTGTTGCTAATGCATCTACTCGATGCAGGGACTCATCGCCACTAGAGGACACCTCCTCCTCCTGTCTACACAGGGAAGAGCATGTTG